GCTGCAAAATGAGTAGGTGGGAGAGCTTTTCCCACAGACATCATAAAGCTAGAGTGAGATAGATGTAAGTGGTAGTTCTAGTAAGGGAGAGTCAGGGAGTGGTGAAAGTACATGGAGATGGACAGGGGAAGCAGACTAAAGCCATCCCACGGGTAGTATGGAACACTCATGAAGAATGGATGAGAAAGACCACTGTTGGGCATTTGTTTGGCAGCGAGAAAAAGGTGCAGAGTAGAGTCTCTGAAGCATGAATGAAAACTACATGCTCTACAAAATGTCCTGTGTGCTGCCTTGATCAGTGGAGAATCAAAGGAAATGCCCCTGGGAGAACAGGGCTCAGACCCTGGAGGACTGTGCTGCCCTGCCAAGGAGCTTGACCTGCACCTTGTGAGTGCTGGGTCTGTATTGAGAGAGATCAGTGTTGCTGAGATGCTTGAATTCAGGAGCTGCACTGGTGCAGACCGTCGGAAGAGCTGAGACTGCCCTGACTCTTACACATGGAAGAGGGGTCTGTCCTGCCAGTGCGCTCAACCGAGTACAAGACTATAGACGCAGCAGATACCCACCCACAGACGCACACCCACAAACACATGCAGCCACTCACCTTCACCTCTCAGTGTCTACAAACTCTGGAATATTCCTTTTGTGGCTTCTCTTGTACTATATATAGTCTTGTTCTTGAACTTGATTCAGGTCTTAAGAAGACAAGGAGCCATCTGAGAAGACCTAATTGCTATGGGTATAGGTTATATAATTAATGTGATAACCTGAAAATCAGGAGATACTTTGACTACCTAGAGATAACAAAAGATCAGGGTTGGCAAACAATATTCTGGAGTAGACATGCAGCTACATCCAACAAATTAAATTATAAGCAGAGAATTTTTAGTAAAAGCAGTCCCTAAATGTTATATAGGATATATTCTAAAACAATGTTCACATTTACCTGAAGTTCAAATGCAAGTGAAGGTCTTGCAGTTTGGTTTCCTAAATCTGGTAACCCCAGCCCTGAGCCTTTCATCTCTCTCTGACCTAGAGTCTCATTCCCAAACACCCCTTAACTCCCTACTCCGCTGGTGGATATTTCCACTGAGAGCAAAAGGCAGAACAAAACAGCGTGTGCTGCTGGGAGATGTAATACAAAGTCATTGCTTATGTGATCAACAGATCTGCTCATTCTCGCGTAGAAGCTGAAATGTAAAAGCATTGGGCTTGGGACTGAGCAAGCACCTGCGACTGGGTTTGGAATAATCTGTTTCCTAAAGCAAAAATCAGTATACATATATGCTGAAGAAGTCCTCAGGCTTCCGTGTGCTAAGAGCACATAATGTCCACAGTGCAGGATGAAGACAGAACTCCTGCCAAGAAGCAGAGAAGCAGCTCTTACATAGCCTTTTCTGTCCCAGCACATTGCATGGAGCTCACATTCGCTCTTGAACCACCTGTTGTGTGCTAGAAATTGAAGACACCTTGTATTTTATAACTTCAGAAGAAAAGTTCAGAACTTGTGTTTCTATGAAAAGTAATTTAATATAAAGGTCTATTTTAGTATTTTGTTACATAATTGAGTAACGTTTATTAAGAAAAACACCCATGCTCAAGCCCATCTAGTGTGACTTTCCCAGTCAGAGATAAGTACATAGTTTAGTAAGTCTTTTCCTATATATCAGAAAAATTTTCTTAGCAAGAGTCTACAATAAACTTCCTTCTGAAGGAATCATCTTGTGATTTCATGCAAGAAAAGTATCTCCCTTAAGTGATTCAGAGATGAAGTTGGCAGTGGTTATAGTCTGAATTGTTTGCTTGTTCCCTGTCTGACCAAAGACTAGAGGAGGGCCCAGTGTGGTAGCCTAGTGGCTAAAATCCTTGCCTTGCATGCACTGGGGTCCCATATGGGCACCGGTTCTAAGGTTCTAATCCTGGCGGCCCCATTTTCCATGCTTCCCATCTAGCTCGCTGCTTGTGGCTGTCGAGGATGGCCCAAGGACCCACGTGGAGAACCTCTTAGAGGCTCTGAACTCCTGGCTTCAGATTGACTCAGCTTTGGCTGTTGTGGCCAATTGAGGAATGAATCAGTAGACAGAAGGTCTTCCTCTCTGTCTTCCCTTCTCTTTGTATATTTGGCTTTCCAACAAATAAATAGATAGATAGATAGATAGATAAATAAATAAATCTTTAAAAAATGAGAGTATATTTCATGCTTTTCCTGGAGTTTTTGACAGTCTGAAGTTTTTTTTTTTTTTTCTAGAAGCCAATAGAATGTTTTAAGTACTCTTTAATGGAAATCAATCAGCCTGAAAGGTCAGATAGTGTTACTTTCATGAGCTTTCTAGGATGGAAGCCTCACTATTTCACTTAGAGAAACATCTTTGGATCCTACCAGATAGACTTGTCAAATACTGGGATTTCTTTTTAGAATTAGTGTGGATGCTGTGTAAGGGAGCAGGGCAGTCTCTTGTGTGTGGAATCCTACCATGGGTCTTGCTCCATTAAAACATCAGTTGATAAAAACCTGCATCACGCAGGTGCATTCCTTTCGGAGCTCTGCTAAGGAGCCCAGTACCCACAGGACTCACCCTCAGCCACATGGGCAGGAAAGATGTTTTACCCAACGTGGTTAAATACTTAAGAACTGTATTTTATTTCAAGCTCAAATGAAGTAATTATACAATCCTAAAGATAAACTTTGAGTTATGAAATCAAGGTAATTTTAAAAATTACTGTGGCTGAAAGTTGGGATCTTAGCTTTTCTTGACTGTCTTCACTTGGAATGCAAAGTAGATAATCCTGTTGAAAAACTTATTAGTTCATTGTAGCATCTCATAACCTCCCCATTTCATCCTGCTTCTTATTTTTCAATTACTTCTCTGCAGCTCTTCTTCCAAGTTCTGTCATTTTAGTTAGAACAACCAGGAACCTGTTCTGCGACTGAAGTCAGCTGCACAGTTCCCATGCTTCGGTCTTTCTTGTCTGTACTTGCTCTCAGGCATAGCTGTGTGTTATCCGATCACTCATCAGCACCTCTGACCTGCAAAGCTTTTCTTTGTAGATTTCAAGTCACTTTCCATTTCTTTGAAACAGCATGTATGGTTCTGTGTACAATTTTGTATGTCTGAAAGAAGTAATTGTGTGTTATAAGCACATAAAGTCACCAAAACTTCATGGGAACCATGCAGATTTTTTTTTTTTGGCACTGAATAAATTCATTCTTTGATTCCATTTTTTAAAAACTTTCTAAAATAATCTGGTATATCACTGTGTGTAGTATTTTGTAAATTATATATGTATGTATGCCTGTGTACCCAAACAGCCATACATATGTGTAAATGCATAGATACTAAGCAGATGGATATGGGGTCCTCAGAATTCATGCAAACTGCATTTTCTGAAAAAAAAAAACGTGGATAGGGATCTCCAAGGTTTTTATACCAAAATTAACTTTTAATTCATTTTCCAAGCTCTTCAGTTTCTTATGCAAACGTATGCACATTCCACTGATAGCTAGTAATTTTTAGCACATGTCAAATGATGTGTCATGTATATTTCTCTTACTGCATCTCTTCATGGTTCAAGAAAGCTGGAAGTTTGTAGTTCCTAGCTGCAGACTATCCTGTGAGTTGTATAACATCTGTGAAAGCTAAATACTAACTCAGTTATTGTCATTTGCTTAAACAAGAGAAAGTGGAAAGTTTTGAAGACAAGCCTGTAGATGAAGGGAAGCCAGGCTGCCTTTTAAAATGTGAAGGTCAGTGTGGACTTTCACTGAAGTTTGACCTTGCTGCCTTTGTTGCATCACGTGGCATTTATTTCTAAGTAATATTGAAAGTGTAATACAAAACAAAAAATAATATAATAAAGTGAGGTTTGAAGACTGTTAGGATATACTGACTATTCAAGTCATTCCTCGTTTTGTAAACACCAAGGATGGTCTTTTCTGAAAAAGAAAAGTCATCATTCAAATAGTGGTGAGCACCCAAGAAACCTGTTACATGGGGAAATGTTTAAAAATCTAGTGAAATCATATGCTCTCATTGGTCTTCCATCTGTTTTGTACATGACGTCCTGAAATGACGGAGTTTTCTGACCAAAGGTTCATATACCTTATTTCTTGTAATAAAATACCGTCATGACATGCACGTACATGTACTTACTGACTCACTTGTATACATATCAATTTGATTTGCTGATACACTTTTTCTTAAATCTAAGGGCAATATGTATAAATTGTACTTTTTTTTTTATAAAGAAAGTATACATTTTGTAAATAAAATGTTTTTCAGGGATGGTTTTATTTAAAGTAGTCTTAGTCTTCCTTTAATTTTTTTTAAACAAAATATGTAGTAAAACACACTCAGAAATTAAAATTCCTGTCTTTTGATGTCTTCATCAGTTTTCCCCAGATAGGCAGGGAGTTTACGGATCTCTTTCTGCCTGGAGCAGGTGGAACTGAGCTTAGCTTCAGCCAACAATATGTTACTCAACTCCTCAGGAGTTACTCAAAGGTAACTCCTGAGGACAAACAAAACCAAACCTTCCTTGTCTCTTCTGAAAGTATTGAGAGATTTTTGCCTTCATTTCTAGAACTCTGATAAAATTCAGAAATATTACGTTTACTACAATAAAAACCTGAGTGTTCCCACACCATCTGCAAAGGTAAATTCCACCTTCTTGGTCTCATTTTCATCATTAATAATGCCCTAAAAATAGACACCCCCTAGAGAATAAAGATATCTTTACTATAATATCTTTACTATAGATAATACTTTGATTATTAGAAAGTACTTTAAAAAGTTTTCAGGCAAATGAAATTAAATCATAGGTTTATTTTTGTGCAAAAATTTAAAAATCTACGCATAGCGTTATATTTATATTCTTCATGAATGTCTTTAACACACACCTTCCCTCCCTATGCATGGATTTCCAAAGTTTTTGCACAAGAACAAATTTATCTTTTAATTCTGTTTTCCCAAAGGCTTTCTGAATTACCTTTGTATCCTCTACATGACACAGTACCAAAAGAATTATTCTTCCATTGGTTATTAACATCGACCAAGGGAAAAAAAAAAGTGATTATTTCAACAGGAATAGAAGAATCCTGAAAAACATTTCCAGCTCCTTTTACAAGGAGTGTTGTATTACTGTGAATCTGTGGAAGTATTACAATCAACCAGATCCTTAATGCAGTGAATGCTACCTTAACTGTCATGTTTTCATTGCCACTCTAGTGTGCGCAAGCAGAAATCTGTTAAAGAGAAATCCAGTTATGCGTCATCACAGTAAATAAATGCTGGTATCAGGTGCGATAGAGACTGATCCGTCCCTTTTGCCAAGCACCACTCTTCAATACAAGACAAGATGCCAAGAAAGGAGTCCTGTTGAAACAAGTGCTTAAGATGGTGTTTAATACAGCAGGGAACCAAGATACATAGACACAATAAAGAATGTGGAGCTTGTGGATACAACAAAGAACTTCGCTTTACGATCTGCCACCTGTTGTTTGAAAGGGGGAAACGGGAAATAAATGTCTTTCAGTTCTCCATACATGCAAAGGTAAGTTAGTTATTACAAAAGTTTTGCCACTGTATGTGCTGAAAGAAAAGGATATGCATTTGCATGTTTTCTAAAAATAAATCACTCAATAGGCTTAAGAAAAATATTTTAGTTCATCTATCATTGATCTTTTCATTCAAGATCAGGGAATAAATCTAGGATGGAAACAAAAATCCAAAACAGAAATGAATCTTCTACCATGGAAAGGCATCTCCAGTCTCAGCTAACCTGGACTTTGTTATTATTGCATTATTTGTGAAATGCCAAAAACAAAAAAAAAAATCTGGCTTTGGCCATAGTATTTGCTGTCCAGCTAAATCACACTTGTCAATAGCGACTGCTCGCAACAATTAGCTCAACAATTTATTTGATAAAATCCCTTCAAAGAGATGTAGACACTGTAGGTGTCTTACACACGGAATCAAATAACAATCTATCAGGCTGATGCTGCAACAATAGGGGAGAAATTTGTAAATTCTTGCCCAAGGAAGGAGCTTCTGAAGGCCTTCTTGTGTTTGTGCAAAACACACCTTGGCCCTGATCCTCAAGTTCTTCCCTGTTCTCAGGAACTCATCGGGGCTCTGGCCGAAGAGGAGGGCAGGGAATCACCAGCTGTGACAGTTGTTGGCAAGGCCATCAGAAGGAGAGGAAGGGAGATGGCAATGCAAACCAGAAATGGGCATGTTCTACAACAAGGAGCAAAGAGACAGCATGGAACCTGCTAGCAATCTCCAGCAAAGCAGGAGAGCTTCCAACGGACAGGAATTCAGTATGTCACACACATCAACAACTCCACCATCACTAGGGCTGCTGTTTAAAGCCAAGAAAAACAAAAATTACGATATTCCAAAAACAAAACTCTCATAGGATCTGTGAAAAATTGAGTGACAAGGCAATGTTAGCTAAAGCTCTTAGCTAAATCCACCCTTAATGGCCCCCAGTATTTAAACTATCATGGAGTAAAGCCATGAAAATAAAAATTTCAATTTGAAATTTTATTAGCATGTTGCTAAATGGTCAATAAAAACATCAACACGATAAGCTTTGTTGACATAGTTGGAAAATTGCTCTCTCATTTTTAAAACTTAATTTCCACTTCCCGCGTTCTAGGGTTTCTATGTTAGGACCCAAACTAAATATACTGGCTATGGTGCTGTAAGAATGCTGGTTTCCGGAATGTCGCATGTTCTCTCCCTTGCTTTCCTCCAACCCTTTTAAAAATACTAAGACTTTTGCAATTCAGTAGCTCAAGGAGGGGGCGGAGGAGGGGTCAAATTGACTAGCGCTCAGCTGCACTTGCCCAGCTTCCCGCACGCCAGGTGCTCAGGGGGTCTCCCTTTATTAGGCGGGGCTGGCTATTCTCACCAAATTAGCTGCGCCATTTTCCTCCTGGGACAGATGAGGCTTCCCAGACTCGCGGGGAATGCAGGTCGGGGGTGGCGCTTGCTTCCCTCGGTCCGGAGAGCCAGGAAGCAGCCCGGGGGCGGAGAACACGGGGCAGGCAGGAGACCTGGGGCTGGACAGCTGGAGAAGTCGCGGGCAGCCTCAGGATGAGTAGATTCCCGAAGTGCTTTCTTGTGGAATTACTCACAAGTGCAAAAGGGACTGGCTCGATTTCTTGGAAATCCTGCCACCTGGGGACGCATCTCGCCTAGCTTCGGTTTTTGTGTGAAGGGGTAGGGTGCGGCGATAGCCCCCTTTTTTTTCAGTCAAGGGTGCTTTCCCTGTTCAAGTCGCTGACCAGCCAGTGTCTTATGACCCTGCTCCCCTTAGCCCGTGTCCTTCTGCCCCCTGTACAACTCCAGGCAAAGGGGCGCGCTGGGTCCACCCACCGTGTCCTCACTACCGCAACTCTGGGCTAGGCGCGCTCGCGCCCCCTCTCCTGCCGCTGGCCAAGGGGTGCAGGGGTGCAGCCGGCCGAGACTCCGCGGGAGGGGTCGGGAGTTCTAGAGTCGCCAGCCACGAAGCCCGGGTGGGTGTGGGAAGGGAGCGCAGGTGCGGGGAGACTGCGGGGCAGATGGCCCCTTGGCGGCTACTCCTTGTCATCCCCGAAGTCGGCCAGCTCCTGGAGTACGCGCAGGCGGCCGCTGGCATCGATGCGGCGCTTCTCGCGGATGAGGTCTTCCAGGCTGTGGAACCTGGCGGTGTGCACCTTGTTCTCGCCCAGGTGCACCTTGAGATAGTACTGCTGCTGCGGGGGCTGCGTGCCAGCCTGCACCTCCCCACCGGCCTTGAACTCTCGCTTGCCGAAGCGGCACCAGGCCGCGAAGCTCTCCGAGTTAGTCCAGCAGATTTCCTCGCTCTTGAGGCCCAGGTGGCCGCAGGCGTTCTGCACCACCAGCTCGGCCACCAGCGGGCGGTAGCGGTACCAGCTATTCACCACCCGGCCCACGTTGGCCGCGCCCGCCTCGTACAGGCTGTCCTGGCGGATCTCGCCTTGGTGCAGGTGGATGATCTGCCCGCCGCCCACGTAGACGGCCCAGTGCGGGGCGGGCGCGGGCGGCTCCTGCTCCGGCTGCAGCCACAGCAGCTCCAGCAAGTCGCCAGGCTCGCAAAGCGCTGGCAGCGCGGTGACTGCGTAGACGCTCAGGTCGGCGCCCTGAGGGCCGCTGCTCACTTTGGAAAAGATGCATTCCTGGCCTCGAAAGGCAGAGAATTGAGTCTCGTTGAGGAGAAGCTGGTGCAGCAGGTGGTGGTGGTGGTGGCTGGGACTGTCCGGGCAGGGTGGGCAGCCTGGGGGTGCCTTCACACCGAACTTGTCTGGCTGCCCTCGTTCGTCCAGGTCCTCCTCCTCATCCGAGAAGAAGTAAGCGACCCCAACCCGCAGCTCGTCCTTTTCGATTCCAGACGGGTCCCCCGTAGGCAACTCACTGTAGTTGAGGTGGGTGAAGCGGTCCAGTTGGTTGCCCATCAATGACGAGGCGAGGCGAAAGGCAGGAGCTGGGATCTGCAGAAACGGAAGTGAGACGCTGTCAAAGTCAGGGCGTCCCTCCCCAGGACCCACAGAGTGCTGGGGTTCCGCGAGCCCAAGTGTCTCGCAAGGGCTTTCAGTGGGGGTGGAGCTGGAGCGCACAGGAGGACCCTGAATCCCTAACCCGGTCAGGTGGGCAGGTGGACGGGTGCGAGCGGCCGCCACCCCTCAGCCCTGTCTAACTCCCACAAGAGAGGAGGTAGGCGGGCTGGGAGAGCATGTGAAGTCCCCAAGCAAAGGAGAGCGCTGTGTCCTGGCCGATTGGGAGGGGGTGGGGTGCAAGAAAGGACACCAAGGGGATTGAAAGGGAGAAGAGACGGCCAAAGCCTGGGAGTGCTGGGGGGGTCTCATTTCTGCCCCCTCCCTATCACGCCCACCTTTAGGTTTTGCTCCAGGTCGCACCCGGCCCTGGCGACTGGACACACTGGCAGGTGTTCCTGTCGAAACCAGCGCGATTTGGGGTGAAGACACAGGCTGGAAAACTGGGGTGGTAGTGTCACACACATTCACAGTGACAAACCTTCTCGATAACACTTCTGCGTGCAGAGATTCCCCCCCCCCACACACACACAGTGGTACATAACTGCATCCCACGCTTGCACACTCGCCAGTGCACATACAGCCGGCACCCGGGCACACCTGCCCACACAGCCAGGTGCACTCTGCCCTTTACTTCTCTCGCAGTCTCGCTGGCAGAACCAATTGGACTGCGCCAGGGCGAGGCAGCTCTGTTTAAAATAACCTAACAAAGAAGCAGAGGGAGGATGGGGGAGCCAGTGCAGGGTATCTGTGCAGGGTGTGTGTGTGTGTGTGTGTGTAAATCCATTTGCAGCCAAAGGGCTCCACTGTCTTCTACCCAGCACAGGATCTAAACAATCGGACAGGAGTAGGTGGGAGGCATAAAAACAAAAACAAAAACCAGAAAAATACCCCAAACAAAACCCATTTCTAATGAAAGAGAAATCCACTTCTCCATACCGGTGGTTTCCCTGCTCCCGGAACCCCAAACTCCTTTAAAGTCTCCTGGTCCCCATGGGTGCTGCGAAGGTGGTGGTGGCGAGGAGGTCCCGGGCGATGAGTGGGGCTGCAGCTCCGCTCTGTCCCACGACGAGCAGGGCGGTGTGGTGCGAGGTGCGCTGCTGGTGTGCCTGGGGTCTGTGATGGCTCTGGCGCCTGCTCCACACTCGGCAAGTCCTGGCTCCACTCTGCTTTCCCACAGCCGCGCGAGGACTCTAAGTAGCCGGTACAGTCTGTTCCAGGGCCCGCCCTGTGACACGCTCATTGGATGGGGCGGGTGCCCAGGCACTGTCAGTCTCCTTGGGAGCCGAAGGGGAAGGGGTGGGGGTGGGTCTCCAGCTCGCTCCGCCCTGCCCTGCCCCCAACCCCCCTGGAGTCTCTGATTGCGCTCCGCCCCCGAGAGCGGTGGTGTGAGCACCCACAGGGAATGCATGAGGGGCACGGTGTTCCTGCTAGGGGCTGGTGAGCACAGCCACCTGCACCCTCCAAGCTCCTCCAAGCTGATTGGAGCTGAGCATACAGTCCGTTTGCATTCCGTTTTGAAGGAGGACAGACTCCAACAAGGAAGCTGATTGTGGGGGTGGAGAAGGAAAAAAAAAAAAAAAACGAAAAAACAAAAAAACAAACCTCAGTGTTCGTTCTACGCTGGCCACACAGAGAAGGAAATGACATTCATTGTCCAAAGGGGGCACCCTGGAGCCCTGCTGGGGTCTCCAGAGCCTTGATGCCTTCTGGCCACTGGGTGCCTAGACCCTTCCTGCAGGACGCAGACACCCTTGCAGCTGCTCTTGAAACATTCAGCTGCTGCCTCTGACCTCGCGAAGCTGCTGACTCAGCGCTGGCGTTTGAAAGCTGAGTGCGTTTTTTAGAAGTGTCCCCCGAAGTCTCAGTTGCTGGCAGACCCCTTCCTTGGCTGTGCAAATGGCTTTGGATTCCAGTTTTTGTTGAAAGGATGCATCACAAATGCTGACAGCAAGATATGAAAATGTTTTCCAAACCCTCACTTGAATTGTCATTACTAAGGGCTTTTTTTGTTTTGTGCGAGAAAGAAGTCCAGCAGTAGTAATTAATGATTGTGTATCTGGATGGGAGGCTAATGAGTGACTGTGCTCTGACTACTGCTTGCTACAGAGGACTTGCATACATAGGAAGTTCTAGATCAACAGTTTCAACAAGCATGTAACCTTATGCCCACAAACAGTTCTTAGACTCAAGGCGCGCTTCTAGTCCCAATGCTACTGGACTCCAGCTGCTTTTCTAAGAAGGTTCTTTCCCCAGGGGAGCACTTGATGTTTTCTTTTCACACCCTCTAGGTAGCTGGTGGAGACTGGGAATTTCTCCTCCTTGAAAAAAAACAAAATAAATAAACAGGTGTTGGCTTACTTCTTCCTAGCAGCTAGCAACATGAACTCCTTGAAACCGACTTGGCATTCTGGGCCTCTTTCCCAGCGCAGAATGGGCAGTATGCTTTGTCAGTAATAATACAAATGAAAACAGCCAAGCAGTGATAGGTGCCAGAAACTGTGCTAAGAGATTGAGGTGGATGATTTAATTCTAGTGCCTCTGCCCCAAGTTCACTGCTGTCCAAATGGTAACAAAGAAACTGAAACCCTGTCTTCACTGCCTTGTCCATGAATGGTTTGTGTGGTTCCAGGACCAGTTGTTAAGCGGGCCGCAGCATGAGTTGAATGAATAAATTATTGTTTCATAGGTGAGAATACTAATGTTCCAGAGAACTTATTGGCCTAAGGTTATATGAAGGGTCATGTACATTTTAAACCTTTCTTTTCTTGGATAGATTACCCTGCTTGGATAATTTTAAGCTGTTAAACTTCCTGTTCATATTTGCTTTCTTAAAATTTCCATGTACCCTCACTGTCCTCATGTGTAGTGATTTATTAAATTGGACACTTAGAAAGTGCTGTGGAAAAATAATTTTAAAATGACCATCCATATATGTGTGATATACCTAAACCTTCCACTTGGCAACTGTTCGTGTGTACGTGGTCAGGAAACTATGGCCGTGCTTGGAAGTGGGTGCGGGTGGTGGATCTCTGCGTTACACTTGCTGTAAGTAATTCATGATCATTTGGGCCCTGATGTCTAGAGAACTGACAAGTGGATTCATTGATCAGGAAGTGAGTTATTGACCTTGTTATAAACTGGACTTCAGGGTCGTGTGGGAGGAAGGCACTACAAGAATTCATTACTAACATCCTAGAAGCACTCCTTAAAAGTTACCCAATGCTTCACTTTGACCTTTAAAAAAAAAATCCTCATTCCATCCCCAGGATCAAAGCTTGGGGCACACATTCACAGTCTGCTGTGCTCTGCCCAGGCTGTCCTGTTCCTCAGTAGGGCAGTCTAGATTGCAGACTAGCACAGAAGCAAGCTGCTCCCGCTCCAGTGCTACCCCAAGGCTCTACAGGGTGATTAGCACAAAATATTATCAGTGATTTGGGCTCCAGTGTGTAAAGCTTAAAATACCAGTTTTGAGGCTTTCCTTTCCATCTCTTTCTCCCTGCAAGATAAAGGATTTACTGCTTGCATTCCCTTGTGAGTGGTCGCCCCCTTGAAGTACAAGGCAGGGAACACCATGCTTCTGAGGTGGGGGAAAGAAGGAAGCTAAATAGAAAAATGCACCTTCACGCTGTAGTCTTTTGGCAACTACAGAGATCATAAAATGAGGCATAGGCCAGCCAACTTGAAGAATGCTGATATTAGAATGGCTTCACAAGACACTCTTTGCTAATTGGTTTATTTATCTGTTATTTTTCACCCCATCCTGCTACCTCCTACCTGGAGGCACTAAATATCATCCAAGACAGAGCACAGTGGTGGAAGAGTACAGTGAGGGAAGGCACAGACCTAGAAGTCAACTGGTTTAGATTCTGCTTGGACATTTGTGAGCTGGGTCACCTTGGGTGAGTTTCTTAACTTTTCTGGGTTTAGGCTCCTCCTCTTTAGGCCCTTTTGTGCGCTGTTCTGAGTTCACATTTTAAGCATACTAAGTAACACACAGTGAATTTTCAATTAAGGCTACCAGATTATTCTTGGTGGAAGAGAGGAGAGGGCTCCATTCTCTGTGTTTCTTGCAGCTCTAGATGAAGTGGTCATGGTGGCTGCCTCTGGTTGGGGCGTCGGGTTGCCTCTGTAAGAAGGTGGTAAGAACTCTTACAAGAATAGTTCAAAGCTGAAAGTGTCCTACAGATTTCCAAGTAGGAAGCTGTGGGGTAAATCACCTCCAGGATCCTGGAAGATGTTGCATCATTTTCAAGTGAATATTTTGTAGTATGAGAAAGAGGTGTGGGAAAATAGTCAGGAGACATGACTGAGAGCTGCCCTTGGATCTGGATCTTTGCATTGGTGCTGTCAGAGGCACCATCTTGCTTCTGTTCCTCGTGGCTCCTTCTTTTGTGCTATATGAAACACTTTCCCCTAAGTCTTTGGCTCTAAAATTGGCCGTGGAGCTAAAGGTTCAGAAGGAAGTGCATTTTCCCCCTCATGTCAGTTTTGCCTTTATGCACATGTTCCCCCTTATGTCAGTTTTGTCTGATCTTCTGGTTTTACTTACATCCCCTACTTTAGCATTCATCCTTGAGTGGAATGAACTGTCCTATATTGTCTGCTTTTGGCTGCCTTGGGAAGTTGAAAAATTCTCTGTACTCATCAGGAACAGAGATGGGGCCAGCGCTTTACCTATGATGGATGCAGGCCAGTGTTCCTGAAGGGCATGGCAGTGTGTGTGTGTGATCTGTCCTCCCAAACAAGCACACTGGGTTTACCTCAGTAAGTCATGGAGATATTTTGTGGTCATTTCTTACAGCAGATAGTCTCTACCCTTACCTTTAGACCTGTCTCAGAACAAGAGTGTCTCTTACCCTTCTCCCTTAGTGTCTGTCCACATTGTCGTGGTTGACTCGCCTGGAATTCCTGCCGCATTTCAACCTGTTGGAATCACTCAGAATTTAACAAAATCAACAATGGACGTATCTGTTCTTTCCTGGTACTGCTAGTCCACAACTTCCTACTGGTTATTCTCTGAATTCTTACAGCTGCCACATGACTAACCTATCCAGTTGGCTAAATATCTTACCTGCTTTCTATTTTCTTCCAGACTGAAAAAAGGCAGAGAAAACTCCTTGGAGCTAAGACTAAGAAAGTCCTTTCATCTTGTTTCATTTTAATTGTCTGTGTGTTCTTACACTCCAACTTTCTAAGTTCCTTTAAGTACTCCCCTGTGAGTGTGGCTTCACATTGTCTCACTTTCTGACTTCCTTCCTTTTACTGGATGTTCCTATTTTAATATCTTTAGTTGCTCTCTATTATTGAGCTCTTAAACACTCTTGAGTCTGCCCTTGGGAGAAAAAAACACGTTAAGCTTTTGTGGGCTGCGTGTTTTCCGATATGTAGATTATGTACAGATGTCTGCTGGGTTATTTAAGTTTTTGGATAGTGCGTACCTTTAGCCTGGGTTGACATTCGTTGACTAGTAATGACAGCTTTTCTGGCTGTGTTTGGACCATGATCACATGCACTCTGTTCTTTTGTTAGGTGCCTGTCCCTGCCTGATCTTTCTTCTGCTCAAGTTGTATAATCAGAACGACTGATAACTCCCTACTCCTAATATGTGTCCTCTCAGTCAGTTGTCATTGGGACTGTCCACTATGTTTGCACGGTACCTTCTGACACATGTGTCGAAACACATGTCAAACCTGATTCAAAATGCACTGTGTTAACAAGTGATTTATCAAAGTTTGGCTTTGTTTTTACTCGCATTAAATTGAGCATTACAATGCTGAGTACATGCATTCAATGAGATAACATATGGAAGATTTACTATTTCCACACAGGACCCCAACATCATCACAACTTGAAAAAAAATCCAGATTCCTAGGCTCTAGCCCCAATATATTGAAATCTAATCTCAGAGTTGACTGCAGGAATTTACATTTTAAACAGTTGTATGAGGTATTCTGCATGCAGTGGATACTGACTAGTCATGTACTACTCGAATGTGAGAAGTTCTTGTCATAAGTACAGTGACAGCACTTGAGCAGGAGGCACTTAATAAATGCTCAGCATTGTGGAGTTATGTTCCCTAGACATCGTCTGGTCTGTCTCAGCAGGCATGAGACTCATTGAACACTTGCTCATACTCTGCTACAAAATAGATATTGGTCTGCATTC